TCTCCAGCTTCTAGTCTCAGACCTTTGCACATGCTGGCCCAGCTCCGGCCGCCGTCCGCGGGCAACCTCATCGTCGCGCGCCGAAAAGCCGTTTCACGAGGCCCGTCTTCTCCATGCCTCCGCGTCCCTCCACCGAGCACAATACCACCCTTCCCGGATACCGATCTGCTTCAAACTCTTGGCGACCCGCCATGTAGTCGCCGAAGAACTGGTGCGCTCGGAAGTCTCCCCCGGCAGTCACGCCGTGTCCCAGCGATACGCCCCAGTGTCCTCCGACGCGGAGTGCGTGGGCCGCCGGGTCTCGGTCAGGCTGGAGCACCACCGAGTAGATGCATCCTGTGTACCCGCACGGCTGAGTCGGCCATCTGTGCGGGGAACCCCCAGCTCTTCGCATCTGTCGACAGCGGATGCCAGGGCGTGACCACGAGCTCCCCCACGCGACACATGACCTCCCTGCGAACAGGCGTGACCAGCACCACGGCGACCCGTCTCGGACCTCGTGGCGTAAGCACTTTGACGCCGTGTCTCAGCTGTCGAATCGGCACGCTGCGTCCGGATGCCAGCAGCACCGGCGTCGAACCGGCAAAGCACGGGTTGGAGGAGCTGTGATAGCGCCGCATGTTGATGGGCTTGCTGGACGTGCCCCATCCGTATCGGCTAGGCGTCGGTGGAGGGATGCTATCGAAGGCGTCGTCAAGGGCCTTACGACAGGCGATGAACAGCGGACTCTGGGCACCGTATTGGAGCGGGCCAGGGTCCTTGAACGAGTTACAAATCTGGCGCGTGTGGGCGTTGAGAATCGAGGGCAGGTAATGGACGCCCCATTTACGGTAAAATTCGGCGTTGGTGATGGCTAGGGAAACCTGTCCCTTGGGCTCTGGTCCCGTGAGGTCTTGGACCAACGACTGATTTTTCTGGTCGGTAAAGGTGCGCGCTGGTAGGTTGCTGATGAGGGTTTGCAAGAGTGGTATCTGGTCGCTAGCCTTGGAGACAGCTTGGTGCTCGCCGTTGTGCTTGCTTTCTTCGTCGCTGATAACGGGAAAGAGCGTAGACAAAAAGGCGCACATCTGAGACCGAGACTGATGGTAGGCGATTTCAGCAGCGTCTAGCGTAGTCGGATTCGACAGGATGCCTTCGGCGCTTTCGGCGTAGATTGCGCTGGTCATTTGTGAGTAATGGAGCTTGGCCTTGACCGATGGCGCTTTGTCGTTTTCCAGAAGCCTGCTCCAGGCATCAGGCGAAGCGCGAAGATAGACGTCACGCGACTGTCCATACTGAATGTTGCCGAGGGAGATGGTCAGTTGCGACGTTGGGGTCAGATACCCAGCAAGCTCGGTTGGTGCCTGTTTCTCAACAGAATCACCAACACTCTCTTGAATGGCTAGCTCGGAAGGGTACGTCAGCGTCAGCGTGGCTCGGTTTGCAAATGTCGACTGCAGGTTGGCAACCGCGTGGACAAAGACTGTGCCCTATGGCGATGCGTCAGTGGTGGCAATCGTTAGGCAGGCATCATGACTCACAATCATGCCAGCATCGGGGATGAAAGCATAGTTGCCTCCGCCAATTTCGGCGATGGACTTCAGCAGACCTGAGCGAATATGGTATCCGAAGCCAAATGTGTGAATCGTGGCAGGCAGCTGGCCCATGTCACGGAGCTTGGGAATGTACCCTAGGCGTGGACATCTAGACAACGTTAATATGAACATGTCATCTCTCGACTGGGTACGGGAGAGCCTACCCTGAATTGGGCAGTCCGTCTGTGAGAACCATCATAGCAGGCACTCGTCCCGAGGAAGAATCACAATCGCTAAAGAGCTTGATGCCCTCGGTGATGCCGTGCCACATGTTGGTCCCGTTCAGAGGTTGGAGGTTTTCAATCTTGTCCTTGGCCGAAACCTTGTTGTCGGGATTCATCTCGACCAGGGATAAAATGACCTTGGCGTTTGTGGTAAATGCCACAATGCCAAGTCGATCCCGCTCGTCCAGTGTCTCGAGAATAGTTCGTGCTGCGTGCTTTGTAAGATCGAGGATCGAAAGCCCAGTGTTCTCGTCTTTCTGGCCAGGAATGACAGGCGCCGGGGCGGCGTCGTCCATGCTCCCAGAGACGTCGATGACGAGGACAATATCGCAGGGAGCACGAGGAATCCGCTTTCCGGACTGGAGAGCCTCTCGTGGGGTCGTAGGCGGCTCGACCTTGACAAGGAGGCCATCTCGCGATGCCAAGGGATGGACCGAGAGGGTCAAGTCGTCGATTTCATCCTGGACAAGAGTGGCAGGTTCACTAGTAATTGACATGTTGTCGTCGGCCACGGAGGAGTCGGGGGTCGCAGATGGATTGCTGGTGGCTCTGGAAGAGGAGGAGCCTGTCGTCAGACGGGCGAATGCTTTAAGCTGTGGTTGTCAGTTGGCGACCAAGTCGACATGCGAAGCAAGCAAAACCCACCAAGGTCATGTTGGCGAGTAGTGATCTTCGTCGGGCACAGAACGGCGGGGGTGCGGAATCAATAAATCATACCAAAAACACAGGCGCGACTTGTATCCAAGTGGAAAATGCAGAGAGGCGGCGTCACTAGATGTACTCACGATGCACTCATCTCCCCTCATAGCGGCCTCACTGGGGGCCTACCAGGCTGACAGCCCCGGCACGAATGACACATCCGGCTACGCGAAGCGCTGGCCAATAAGCGTGAGACATAGCACAGAAGGGTGGATGGTAGCCTCATTCGTGAAAGAGCTGAGGACTTTTGCGAGACGGATGCCTGGTGTGGTGGTCGACCTTCTTGGAGGCGTCACTTCACGGCTGAGGAGGTCTTGGCGCGACTGCGGCGAGCGGTGGTGCTTCGCCATGGTCAATGGGTGCCTCGTTGAACGCCCGGCGAAGCCTAGCGGCGCACGTCAGCCCTGTAGCGGGCCTAGCAGTCCGCCTGCAACCCCCCCTTCCCCCTGCTGGTGCGCCGTGGCCCACATCCCCAAATCCTCCTTGAGCACGCTGTGCCCATGTGCTGAGGGGAAACCGAGAGAGCCGGGATGGGATCCTTTCTGGTGTGGTGGTGTAGGGGCAGGCCGGCGAGCTGTATTTGGCCTCGGGAAGGTAGCAGGAACCGTAGCGGCGGGTGACTCAGGCTTCTTCGTCTCTCGCGGCCGTCCTTCTGGGCTTTGCCTTGGTATGCAAAACAGTGCCTTGCCTGTTTATGCAGACACATCGGGCATTCTTGTTCGTGTCTTCTTTGGAAAGGCTCGGAGCACGGTCAACGGCGTCATCCGCTGGGATCAAGTGCCATTAGATAGAGTTCCCCCCCGTCACCCGTGCCGCCATGTCATGTGCATGGCCGTGATCCATGAAAATGGCCGTGATCCATATTGGCTTCTGTCGCCGAACAGCGTACGTCATAGGTTTCGGATCGTGGGTGGACCCTTCACGCGGTGCTGCGTGGTCGAAGGCGGCGAGCCTGTGAAGGAATCAGGGAAAGCGACGATCCAGGGACCACCGGAGGCATTGAAGCCTGGGGTAGTTACATAAGTAATACCCCACTGATGGGCGATGAGAAGGGACAGGGGTAGGGGTATCGTCGGAAGTGTGGATGTGAGACGACGGCGCAGAAGGAATAGCTCGAGGCAGTGTTGGAGATTGTTGACTCGGAACGATAGAGGGTATGGGCGATACTAGAGGACTGAAGCCTGGTGGTTTGCCGTGATACCGTTTGATGGGCTTTTGAGTTTTGATGGCGCTGATGGTGGATGTCTGCACCGCTAGGCAGCATGCTCGGCAGCATGGCTCCAAATGCAGGTCGTGATGGCCAGGCAGCCAGGGTGTGTCTGGGAGAAGAGAGGGAGAGGCGCGCTCGGACCACCGCTTGTGTCCCTCGAGTCACATGATGAAGCCTCTCTTTCTCCGCCTTCCATTCCCCAAGGTGCTCGGTGCTCGATAGTGACCAATGAGAATGACTAACAAAGGCCGTCCATAGCACCGGCCATTGGTCTCCTTTCTCCTTCCAAGGTGATCGGTATTAGCCATTGGTCCTTCTCAAGGTGCTCGATAGAGCCAATTGGTCCTTCCCAAAGGTGCTCCGATAGTGCCATTGGTCCTTTTCCCTCTGATCATTATCATTCCCATCGTGTGATGCATCTGGCGATCGCTCGCGCCCCCCCCCTCCCATTCGAGACGACGTCGCCGTGACTGACATTCCCAACGACTCTCCCCGAATGTGCCCGACTCGAACGCATCCATCATCTCCATCCTCGCCATGCCACCCTCGAACACAGCCGAAACCATACACCCCGCAATCCCCGCAATCCACCTCCCTCTCAACGCTCGCCGCTAGTCACCGAAAGCGCCAAGCCTAGTTGCTCTCGCTGCTGTCTGACGTAGAGTCTCTGTCTCTCGCCTCTCGCCTCTCGCCCACCCGCCGGCTGGGCACAGGCCGCAGCGTGCTGTGCTTCATCTCTCTTCGTCCTGAAGCACTGATGCAAGGCAATGGACTCTGCGTCTGGAGGATACCATTATTGCGCTCGCCACTGCGCATCTTCGTCCATCGATCGCCAGACATGATGCTCATGTCTCGGTCCCTCAGCCTCCGCCGCGACATCTGGCGCCCAGCACCCACATGATTCGCGCTACTCCACGATGCTACCCCTCCGGCGCTTTTTGCTTTCGCCATGTGCATTGCCGCCATCGGCCAATCAATTGCCCTCATGCGTCGCCCGTCGCAGCCCTCTTGGCTCCTTGGCTTTGCTCGCCGCCAGCCGCACCGTCAGCTGCGTCCAACCCGACTCGTCAAAAGCTCGTTCCCACCACCTGCATGCCGTTCCATGAATGCACAGACCTGCGTCCTGCATCCTGATCTTAGCTTGTACTGCCTTTTTAGCCTCGTTGCGGGGGCCGCCATCCATCGGCAGTACCAGGCCAAGGCCAAGGTCGAGGTCAAAGTCGAGGACCAAGCCAAGCAGCGTGGGGGATGAGGCCCCCCTCCTCAATCCTCTCCTGCAAGCTGCCTGTCCAATCCGACGCCTCACAGTACCCAGCCGTCCGGTCTTGTCAGGAGGAAGAGGAGGAAAAGGGATGGGATTGGGGAGGAACAAAAAAAAAATATGGAACCGGGCCCCAGGACCCCTTGTGCGCAAACGCCAGGGTGCGGCATTCCCTGCATTACCTGAACCGTGAGGGTAACGAAAATGACGTCCGCCAGCCAGAGGCGGACAATCTTCATGTGTTTCGGCCTCTCTCTGCCTCTTTCCGACTCTCGCGCGCTCATCATCTCGTCTGGCGCCAGGGATGCCCCCTCCCGGCTGCGTCTGAGCCTCTCTCTTTCTCTCTCGCTGTGTCTCCCTGGCCCCCTGCTCCCCGGCCAGCCTGTGCGACGTACACGATCTCCATGAGCGTTTAAGCTCGCTGGATTGGATGCGCTGTCATTCGCCACGCATGGCAGCGCTGTTCCCGGCCTGATCCGCGGACGGAGCTGGCTGCCTTCTTTTTGGCCTTTCTCATGGCGTGGTGTCGTGTCTGGTGGTTGCATCTGAGAAGTATAAGACCGATGGTTCCGTCCTCCTTTTGTGAGAAGAAGCACTTCCATCCTCACCCTTCACTCCAACATCACCAATCTACGTTTCCTCGCGCAAAGCAAAACCAAGCAACAAGCCGACCACATAGCGCTTCAAGCTACTACGCCTACGTTCAACGGCACCAAATCTCTTTCCACCGCCAAACACCAAAACACCAAAACACCAAACCTTCACAATGGGCTGCCCTTCTTGCTGCAAGTGCGGAAGCATGATCGTTATCAGCAACTCGTGCCCTTCGTGCGGCCACCACGAGTGCACTACATGCCTCTAGAGTGAACGTCACACAACCAGACGAGCATGCAAGCACTGCTTTTTTCGTCAGCTCCCACTTTGAGCCTCACGAGGCACGGAAAAAAAATAAAGTTGGTGCAACCAGATGAGACGACAGGAAACAGACCGATGCCAGCCGTGGGTGACTCAGCCGTGAAATCAACCAAACCCGGTTATTTCCGAGACAACTCATGAAGGCTGTGGCACCACTCGACTCGACTCAAGGCACTCAGCTCACCCGAAGTGCGGCTCAGCATGGCCTCATGGGCGGTGCTTCGTTGCATGACACGACCACCCTTCGGCGTTCTTAGCGCGTGTACAACTTTTGCGATACCCTCTCTGCTACGACTGGCGTTTTCTGGCTTGGGTGGAATGGGGATGGACGGGACCAATCCGACACATGGTGCCAATGGCACGTCGTGACTGTGGCAGAATGTCCACAGGTCTCCCAAAGGCCCATGCGCAAACGGTTATTAGGTAGACCCAATACACTCCATATACTGTACCACCTGCTGCCTAGTGATCTTGGATGCCACACGTAGCGTATAGACAAGCATCGGCAAAGTTCAGCACGATGGCCGCCGCTTCCATGTCTGTCAGCCATCTGTCATCCCGAAGCGCCAGCCAACGCAGGTGATTGCCAGCACTGGCGCACGCTACACGTCACATCAAATCCCCATGGCCCCTCCGATCCAGCAGCCTTCCATGACTCTGCGGCGCACGGCAGCCAGAGGTGCCCCATCGACGCACGAGTGACCAGCACGTGCAAACTGAAGATCAGCGCCTGCTAGACATATGGCGTCGTTGGGCGACATGTCATCTCCATGGCCGCGCAAGGCCGACCAGGCATGTTCCGTGCGCCATGGTAGCAAAACCCACAAGGGAAGCGGGCGCCGGACCCCGGAATCCGATGGCCCGGATGAAGCTGCTGGGAGCGCTAGTGTGCTTCTGACGATCAAGATCACCATGTCAGGCCGACCGGGTCAAACTCAATATCTGTGCCGGTGGAGACGATCCAGGGCCTGCAAGGTTGAAGGGGGCTTCAAAAAGGCGAACATGAACGTTCGAGGAAGATTGCCGAGATGGAAACCAAGAGACTGACAGGTCGAAGATCGGGATCGCACAGTACACGACGTGACATGTCCAAATCACGGAGCCCTTCGCCGACGACGGCAACGCCTGTGAGGTCGGCATCAGACACAGACCACCAGCCCAGCGACGTGGACGCCGTTGCCCTGCGCACGCTGACACGCAAAATCGACCTGCGCATCATCCCGCTCTTCATCTTTCTCTACACCATTACGTTCCTCGACCGCGTCAACATTGGCAATGCCAGGCTGTGGCACCTCGAGGCCGACCTCGGCATGGCGGGGTATGACTATAACCTCGCCGTGCTCGTCTTCTACATCCCCTACATGCTCCTCGAGATTCCGTCCAACATGCTCCTCAACCGCCTGAAGCCGCGCTACTACATCGCCTCGCTCGTCTTCCTCTGGGGCCGTACGTCCCTCGAAGTCCCCGCCCCTGCTATCGGCAAGACTAACAGAGCGCCCTCCAGTGACCATCACGCTCGCCGGCTTCTCGACGCGGTTCGCCCATCTCCTCGCGGCCCGCGTCCTCCTCGGCGTCTTTGAGGCCGGCATGTTCCCCGGCTGCCTCTTCCTCCTGGCGACCTGGTACCCACGCCACGCGCTCCTCACCCGCACCGCCCTCTTCCTGCTCGCCAACGACATAGCCGGCTCCGTCTCGGGCCTCCTCGGCGCCGGTCTCGGGGCCCTCGACGGCGTCCGCGCCGCCTCGGGCTGGCGCTGGATCTTCTGGCTCGAGGGCGCCTTCACCTGCGCCGCCGCCCTCCTGGCCCTGCGCTACGTGCCCGACTTTCCGCACCGCGAGCCGTTTCTCGCGGACGCCGAGCGCGCCCTCTGGCTGGCGCGCCTCGAACACGACGCCCGCAGCCTCGGCCACGAGCCCATGACGCCGCGCCGCGTGCTGCGCGCGCTGCGCGACGCCAGGTCCTTGGCGGGCGGCGTCCTCTACCTTCGCCGTCTGGCGTCACGGCCCTACAGCATCTCCGTCTTCACGCCGACATCTGCGCACCTTTGGCTGGGGCCCGCTCAAGTCCAATCTGCTGTCGACGCCCGTGCGCATCGCGTCGGGCGTCGTGTCCGTCCTTGTCGGTGTCGTTTCGGACCGCACGAGGCGCCGCGGCGTCTACTGTCTCGGCGGCTTCGCGACGAGCATCGTCGGCCTGCTCCTCGTCATGGTGCCGACGGACGGAGGGGTGCGCTATGCGGGGCTGTATCTTGCGGCCGTGGGCATTTACGTGTGCCAGCCGCTCGTCATTGCTTGGACGTGAGTTTGCTCGTCCCATGTTTTGTCCTGTTGCGGCAGAAAGACAATCTTTCTGGGATGAAAGACTGACTCTGTCTTCTTCGCAGTGTCAACCAGGTCGTCGGTAACGTGAAGCGCGGCACGGCGACGGCGTTCGCCATCAGCTGTGGTCAGCTCGGCGGCATCATCTCGGCCGTCGTGTTTCCCGCCAAGGACGAGCCGCAGTACGTGGCGGGCATCAGCACGTGCATCGGATTTCAGGCCGTGGGCATCGCCACGGCGGTCATCATGTGGGTGTGTTGCAAGAGGGAGAATCGAGCGCGGGAAAGGGGCGAGAGAGAGTATCGGCGGCATCTGCCGGAGGACGAGGTGCGGAGGTTGGGAGAGAAGCATCCCGATTTCAGATACACATTGTAACAACGCAGCGTAACGAATTCAAAGTGCTTTTTTAAATACAGAACGTGCGAGTACTGTTTTCCCTCGCCTGACCGGTCCCTATCTGGACCTAGGATCGAAGCGTACGTACATGGACCAATATCCCGGAGACCGTGTGTACGCCACGCTCAGAAGTATACGGGATCCCCCCCCAGACACCAGCATCAACTATGATCGTGGCATGCCGTACCCGGCCATGACCATCTCCATATCTCCCCATTCCGGAGGCGCCGTCGTTTCGCTGCCGTTGAACGGATGGAAGTAGAACCCTCCGTCATCAAGCTGCACGTTGAGCACCCCATATGTCGTCGCTTGGCCAAACCCCATCGGCGCAGTCATCGAGAAGGCCTGTCCTGGCGGCACACCTATGACGCCAGTACCCATCATCCCATACGGAAACTGGCCGGCGTCAAGAGCCGCAGGCTGTCGGGGCAGCGCAGAAACACCACCACCAGAGAACCCCCGCGACCAGGCACTCCCCGGCAGCGCCCTCACCTTGTCTTCCTGCGTCCCCGGCGTCTGGCTTGTACACTCGGCAAACGCATCGACGACCGAGGCGAACCGCTTCATCGAACCGCTCTTGTTCGTCCTGTTGAGGACACTCTGCGACTTGCGTACCAGCTCCCGAATGACAACCTGGATCTGCTCCTCCTGCTGGTCCGAGGCCTCGGCGCCCTCGGCGGCAGGCGGCCTGCGCAGCAGCCGCAGTATGAGGACCATGGCAGCGCAGTAGGCGTAAAAGACGTCGAGGCCAGAAAGCCCGTTGACGAGCTCGAAGCCGTCGAGGAAGAGCACCATGTACGTCAGCTGCACGGCGTGGCGCACACAGGCATCGGCGACGGCCGACATGGCGGGCGGTGGCGCCCCAGCGCTCTCGTCGCGCAGCGCCTTGCGCGCGGCGGCGATCTCGCGGAGCAGGATGGGCCGCGTCGCGACAATGGCGATGTAGTGGTACTGGATGTGCAGCATGAGCACGGCGCGCAGCTGCGCCCTCGTTTTCCACGACAGCACGACCTTGAGCTCGTCAAACTCCATGGCATCCCCGTCTTCGTCGTGGAGGGAGGCGCTGCTGCCGCGGCCGCGCAGGGACACCCGCGTCTGGATGTCGGGCATGTGGAAGCTGGGGTTCTCGGCGACATCCCGCTTCCAGGCAGCGAGAGACCGCATGATGTCGTCGACGCTCGGCCTCGGCACGACGTCCTGGCCTTCGGCGTCGGGGCGGCGCTGCGGCCGCGCGTAGGCGAAGCGTGTGCGCGCGAGAATGGCCTGCAGCCTCAGTGACAGGAAGACAAGCTTGGCATCGGTGCCCGTTCCAGCATCGAGGAAGCCCTCCCGCGGCGGCACGATCTCGACGTCCATCTCCTGCAGGCCGCTGGGCCGGCCCAGGCTCGAGGCGAGGAACTGCTCGAAGGAGTAGAGCGTGCAGAAGACCCATTTGCGGACCTCGCGGTCGAGCGGGCGCAGCGAAGAGCGCATGTCGCTGCGGTGCAGACCGAGGGCAAAGGCGATGCGCGTCGCCGTCCCGACGAGGTTCCAGGCCGCGTTGCGCTCATTGTTGTTGTGGAGGAAGAGCGACAAGAGCATGAGGACGCGCACGTTGGAGAGGGTGCACTTGGAGATGAACTGCGGCAGAAGCGTCCGCGCCGCCGCCACCGAGCGCCGCCGCAGGTGCGAATGGTCGACGCCGGGGATGTCGGGGCGGGCGATGGAGCCGAAGACGAGTATCATGTGCAGGCAGCCCATCCAGCCCCAGTCGGGAACGGCGTTGCTCCGATTCTGCGGTTGGGCTTGGCTCTGGGGCAGAAACTGCAGCCGGCGTCTAGCTTGAACAATGTAGAGTTCGTACTCGTCTTCAAAGGTTGCTCGGTGGAACAGAGGGTAGTCGTCATGGACGTTCTTAAAGTACGACTGAACGAGGAGCTCGAGGGTCTCGTCGGCCGGCAGACCGCGAAGCGTCTCATCAAGGTCAACAGTCGGCATGCGCGTAAAGTCCTTGGCGATAGACGTGACCGAAGTGACGGAAGCCGGGGAAGGTCCGTCGAGGGGGCCGTCCGTCTGTGTCGCCGGGTGTAGGGCCCCGGGCGCCCCAGGCGAATCATCAGCCTCGAGCGCCTGTGCCGTATCATCCTGCGTGAACTTGGTGACAACCTCAGGCTGGGCCTCAGGCGTTCCCTCGCTGCTGACCATCAGTCGCCTCAGCTGGCTCAGAAAGTTGAGAGTGCCCGAGGGACCGATGTAGTGCTCATTGCCAGAGGTATCTCTGATCAGCGACAACTGAGCGTCCTCAGCCCCCGAGGCAGCAGCAGCAGCAGAGACAGCATCGTCGGTGCCGACCTCGCTTGGCGCCTTAGACCCGGTACCCAGTTCCGAACCAGAGATCTTTGATTCAGCAACCGAGTTGTGCCGGGAAGAACCCACCGGATCAGGAGCGCGCACGAGATCCTCAATCTTGACGCCCTTTCTCCGCGGCTGGGAGAAGTCCGGCATGGCATACCCCATGCGCCGGCCAAGCTCAACGAGATCCTCCGCCGTCGCGGTCAAATCGTTGGGAAACGCTCCTTTGACAATGGCATCGAGACAGCGATATCTATTCCGTCAGTCAACCCAAAGGCATAGCGGCTAAGAGAGAAATGAAAACAAAAGTGAAATGATATATGTACCGATCGCTCAAATCGTCGACACTCCCATAAAACCGCGTCTTCCGCGGCGTCGTATAAGCGCACGGCACGTTGTGCTCATGACAAGCGACACATCCCTGGCCATCCGGCGCAGGCACGCAACGGCATCTTCGCTGCAGATCGTCAGTCCCCTGCCAGCATCGGTACCACGATGGACTGTGATGTCCGCGGGGCACCATGACTCTGGAACGGAACTCACCTTTCTGCAGAGGTCGCAGCTCTGGGCGTTTCTCTTACGAAACTCGTCCGGGATCCGGCGCTGCCGCCGTTTGGCAGCCGACACACTCTCGCTCATGGCGAGCGTGTCATGCGTCGAGGTGCGCCTTGTATACCAACGACCACCCTCTTACTCACGAACAAGTCAGGGTGGTTGGACAAAAGGTACGAGGGCGCGAATGGGAGACGAGCGCCAAGTTTAGGCTAATGCCAGTCAGTCAGTCGGACAATGGAAGCTGGCTTCGAGAAGAGTGCTCAACAGACAGACTGCGCTGCACTGCCACGCCGAGTTGAGACCGCATAAATTGGTTCCTTACAGCGACGGGGACCCTGGGAATCGCACACGCGCGCAAGGAAACGTGCAGCCTTAAAGAGATGCTCCCAGTCAAAGCTCCCTCCCTAGGGAGATCGGAACAGCATTGGCTCGAAGGGGGGAACAGCGAGTATTGGCTCGGAGCTTGGGGAAACCGGCGGCGACTAGTGGTGGAGAGATGCGAGTGGCAAGGCGGGGGAGGGATCGATCACGGAGCTTGACAGGGGCGGGGAGGAGGGAAGTGCCGGCCAGCGGCCAGCATCAGCATTGGCTTAAGCTCAACCAGGGCCCGCGAGTCAGTCTAGTCGTGACGCCTTTGGTGTGATGTGCGTGTGGTGCGGGCGGTCCAAGGCAAAGTGGCCCTGCTTTTGGGGACGACGCTGGTGTGCTATTACACGTGACAGTCATCTTTGCTCGATCTTCATCGTCCTTGGTAACGAAGGGGCGCTCTAGCTTGGAAGCTATCTGAGAGTATGCGACTCGTGGCTGATGCTGATCGCCTGTCAAGATCGACGCCCGTTGGTGGTCTAAAGAATGCTGTACTGCTGAATGACACTATCACACGGACAGCACTTGGCGCAACAAAGCCGAGGCTGTCATCATGAAGTGCATTCCTCTTCCCAGCAGACATGGCTGCTATAGTCCGTTCAACTCCAACCCGGAGTTGCTCTAGCTAGGTCGATAAGAGCTGGCAGTCCAAGCTATCAATCAATTTATGGCCAAAATATGTCACTCTCCCGTCGTGACCACAAACCCATCCAAACTCCTTTTCCCAAATGTCGTATCAGTCATCAAAGGATATCCGAAGACATACTTGTAAAAATGCAAATAGTCGCACATGTCGTGCTAATGCTGCCCATACTGTATCCCCAGACCCACACTCGAGCCGTCACCAACCTGCGTGCTGACGCGCAGCTTCTTGGGCGGGCTTGCCTGTATCTGCCTTAGATCCTCGGGCGGTGGGATGCCGCCGCTGAACTTCCTCTTCTCGCCTCCGTTACCCCCCGCCATGCCCGACAGGAGCTTCGCCTGCAGCCTCGCGCTCTTCTCCGCTGCCGCTGGTGTCCCGCTCCGGGCCTCGCTCGCGATCTCAAAGCTCGAGCGTGGATCCCTGCGCAACATCTCCGACGCCGCCTGGCTCGCCTGGCTCTCAAATGCCTCATCATTGTCGTCGTGCTCGCCATTGTTCGGCAGCGGCCTCCGAGGGCCGCGTTGAGATCCACGAGAGGCCTGCGAGAGAAACGAAGCTGACTTTGCAACGGATTCGAGGGCCTGCCTGGCAAGCTCTTCATTGTCGTCGACGGCCGAAATGGTGCTCTCACGGCTCTTGTGGAAACGCTCGCGTCGTGGTGTCGGCGACGGCGGTGCGAATTGCCTGTTGGAATAACGTGCAGGCGGCTCGGTCTGCGGCACAAGGTCAACTGACGGCAGGAGCCCCATGTGTTCACCACGAGGCTTGTAGCCGGGCGTCGTGGGCAGCGATGAGAGGGACTGGGCGTTGCGCGTGTGCTTCGCCGACAGACGGGGAACTGGGCGAGCTGCTGCAACGGGCGTGGAAGGGGCGCTGTTGTTGTCCTGGCTCAGCGCTTGGAGAAGGGCAGCCATGGGCTCCTGGCCGGGAGAGGGAGCCGTTCGGATGTCTGGCACCGTCTTGGGCGCCTGTCGTGTTGGCGCCCGCACCTGCTGGGGGGTCGACACACTCTGTGACGCCTTAGTCGGCGTCATGGCCCCGTGGAACATGCCGCCAGGGTTGCAGAGCATGGTAAAGTGCTCTCTGTTCTCACGGATGCGGTTGAGGAGCATGTCCCTCTCCTCACTGAGGCTCGTGATCTCTTCCTCCTTCTGCGAGACCAGCTTCTTGGCCGTTTTGAATCTTCGGCTCAGAGCACGGTTCTCCTCGACGGAATCCTCGTACAGCGTCTTCATCTGCAGGTACTTGAGCTGGGCTGACTCGGTAGCAGCACTGAGCTCCCGGCGGGCATGCTGAGAGTACTCGGCCGTCCTCAGAGCCTCCACCTCCCGCCTCATCATTTCGAATTCAACCTCAGCCCGCTTCGCATCCTCATCGGCCTGCAGACTCAGCAGGTTGTATTGCAGCTTGTGGTGGGCCGCCTCCATCTTGAGCCTCGCCTGCTCGGCAATGCACGTCTGCATCATGGCGCGCAGCTCGTCGGCGGTCGCCTCAAGCACCTGCTGAGGTGCGGGTGGCACGTAGTCGGCGGCCAGAGCGACGTCTGCTGGTCGAAAAGCGGCGAGCCCCGTGGCGGGAGGAGAGAAAAGTGTAGAGCGTTGGGAAGCGATGTAAGCGCTCGGCAGGACGCCATTGCGGGCGTGAGAGGGCACTTGAGAGGACGGTGGCGGTGTCAGAGATGAGGGGATAATGGCTGACGAGGCGAGTCTGTCATCGTTGTATTCAGTCTTGAAAGAAGCACTTGGTTCGTCGATGGGTGACGGCGGCGCTTCGGTCGACGGCAGCGGCGAGTTCGGCGCGAGAATCTCGCTGTCATTGTCGGGAGGGGTGACGGGATCCTGGTCCTGGGCAGAGCGATTATCGAGCAAGCCGTTGGGCAGCTGAGCAGCTACCTCCGCGTCGGCGGACATGACTGATCGGCCAGGACTGCTCGAAAAGGTGGTCGAGACAAATTGTAGAGTGACAATGGGTGATGGCAGGAGAGGGACAAGATTCCCGGCCAAGGTAGGGTGCGACGGAATGTACGGGGAGCCAAGGGAGAAGGGATGTTGCTGGTGACTGTGGCGGAGGAGGTTGACGCGGGGGAGGTAGCTAGAGATGGTTGTCGTGATTCAATTGGCGGATGATACGGCGTGCAGACGTATTCCCCGACTATGCGTCTTTGGTCGACTAGGAGTAAGCGAGTGCGATGGTAATCGGAGATGGCGGCGCCGCTGTGTGGTTGGCGAAGAAGCGAGGGACAGACAACAATGTTGTTGTGGTGCCTTGGAGGAGACAAACGAGCGAAGGGAAGGCGGAAGGCTCCAGATGAGAGGAAGCTCGACCGAGACAGGACAAGGCTGTGGCTGGAAAACAACAGAAAGAAGAGGCTGGTGCACAATACGGGTCGGCTATGAGCGCGCTAAGCCAGATGCGGACTACTCTGCACAGCTTCAAGGCACCTTACACCGAGACCCTGACCGAAACGCCCTACACCCATCTTCACCGAGAGATCCCACCAAGCGTTAGCATCACACACTGGCAATGGCCACCTCAATCACTGCACATCGCTTGAGCTCCCTCACCACCCGAACGCCCTCCGCGATGGCTCCATCGACCTCGTCTGCTCTCTTCACGACTGTCCACCAAGCATCACCGGCACCCTCAGCAATCTTTCCAAACGAAGGTGACGGCGAAATGCTGACGCCCATCGCCTCGGCCAAAGCTGTTGCCCTGCTGTCACCATGCCGCCCTTCGCCATCGCTCCGTGGCACAAACTCTTTCATCTCAGGATGAATCCTCAAGCAGGCATTCTTCGGGCTCGTCCAGCCGCCATTGTTCCAGATGACGGTCAGGTACGGCGTCGCATACCGCATGGCCATCCAGTAGGCACTGGCAGGTACCCCAAATAGGAACGTTCCGTCTCCCACAAACGCCGTGACAAGACGGTCGGCCGCATCACCCACAGCCGCCTCTTCTCTCAACGCCATGGCCACGCCGACAGCAGCCCCAGAATACCACCCGAGCGAGCCGCCACCACTGCCCACCAGCGAGTTGTGTTGGTCGTGCCGTAGGTGGTCAGCGACCTTGCCAAGATTGGTCGTGCTCTCGTTGAGTGCTAATACGTCAAGACCTTTTGTCGCCTTGCGGAAGCGGCTCATAAAGTACGGCACCGTGACCTTTCCATCTGGAAATGCCACTTCTTCTGCTTCGAGTCGCCGCGTTCGTGCCTCGAAGCGCTGTGCCAGCAAAGATATCCTGACGTCGATCCTACTCTTTGTAGCTTCAGCAAAGAGTTCCCGGCTCATCTCGACGTACTCATCTAGCTGTTTCAAAGCCACCGACGTATCACACATCCAACGCTTCTCGGCCGGAAGACTCCAGAGTGTGGCGCTGCTTTTCAGAGGATCGCAGTCGAGGTGGAAGATGCGGGCCGCATCGCTCGGCCTCGACTCGGATGGAATCCATGGGACATCCGAGTCGACGACGAGGACCACGTCTGCTTCGGCCAAGGCCTTGAGCTGCCCGCCGCCGTTCCATGCATGGCCTTGGTGGAGGAAACTGGTCGTCGGGAAATTGTTCACCACCGGCGCATTCTCGTGCACGGGGATAGCGAGGCGCCGGGCCAAATCGTGAAGTGCTTTGAAGGCGGCAGGATCCCGGCCCGCGTAACTTGTCACGATCAGGGGGAAGTCGGCCCTGATAAGAATGTCGCCCAAGCGCGCGACGTCTTGCATGTGGAGGCCAACTTTCTCCACCGAGAGGTTCTTCTTTGGATCTTGCGAAGGCTTGATGCTACGAATTGATGTTTGGGCTTCGAGTGTCTCTCGCGATGCGATGAGATATGTTGGCCCCTGTGGCGTACTTGTCGCAATCTGAAGAGCCCGGAGCACAATCTGTACAGCATTGTGTGGTGATCGGATCTCATGATCATACTTCATGTATTGACGAACGATAGAGCGCTGGTCTGGGATATCCTGGATAAAGTGAACATCTTTGCCTACGGTCAGTCGATACATGGCACTCGTGCAGGTGTGCTCACTCACATCTGTCACCGTCAGTAATGTTCCATGAGTCAGACAAGGGGAACCACGCACTCGTTACGACTCCCCGGTAGCTCCCCTTCCATCGTAATAGGCACGGTACCGGCAACTATCACCACTGGCAAGCGGCCCTTACTGATATTGTGCACTGCGCCCGCCAAAGCCTGTGTGCCGCATTCGACGTGGACGAGTACAGCTGCTGGCCTCCCAGTGATCATTGCATAGCCCGAGGCTGCCGAAAGCGCATTCATCTCATTCGGCGAAGTGACGACCTTGACCCGGGGATACGCCTTCGTGGCAAACGCCGTTAGGAAAGCCGGGTGGTCCGAGCCGAGATTGACGAAGAGATGAGTGACGCCTGCGGCCTGAAGTGCGTGCAGAATGGCGCTGGCGCCGCTGACTGAATCATCAGGGCAAACAGCCTTTGGCGCTCTCCATTTGGCAGGCCGTTGTCGCCCTCGGCTGAGCCGGTGAACGTGGGATGTGGCCTGCTGTCGACGCAGAAGGGGCGAGGTGACAGGCAACATGAAGTGTCGAATTGCAGCGATTCGTCGCATTTTGCTGAGCTAGCGACACAGCGAGCCCAGACCAAAGCCTCACATCCCAGATTCTGAAGGTTCGCAGAACTTTCTGAAAATGACGAGAAGAGGATTTGGTCGTCTCACATATCGAGGTGGAAAGCCTATTTGAGCTGCGACGATCCGTCCATTTCCGGAAGACAGTCCTCCCCACAATCGAGACAGCCCACTAGCTAGCTTTGGAGTACACTGAAGCTGATACATAGGTTGTTGAGATGCTTTTGGTGACACCTTATGCCAAGTTGACCGGGAATTGAAGAAAATTCATGCAGATTTCTTCGTCTTCCGATCAGTACATGTCTCAAGTGATTGCACTGAATCCACGAGTGACTAACTTTCCGAATGACAGCTACGATTAAGCCAAGGTCTTGGTCTCTTGGAATAACAGTAGTCACTTCTATTTGTTGTGGCTGCGGAAGTACTCTTCGTGAAAAGAACTGCGTTGATTTTCTTGGGCGTGTTTTGACCGGGCTGCTGGTCTAAGTCACGATGCGGCTCGAATCAAGCTCTGGCGAGAGGGACATGAAGGTTCTACAATCTATCGATAGCTATTGGCTACGATATGAATATCAAACAAAATGTCGATCGGGTCTTGATGGACTGCCAGCGGCGGTCCCAAAGGATGGCCGATCAGAGCCAGGCGGTTAGTAGACTAGCAAATCCGGTTTACGTACACGGGGACGGATGCTTCGCTCGACATTTTATGTGGAAGTTTCGCAATATCAAGTCGCCAGGAAGCTTTCTATTATTTTAAAACCTACTTACACGCCCTCAGAGACCAGTAGGTTCGGAACTGAACGATGGTCGCGAAATGTGATATCAGCCCGTTGAGCATCAAGTGAAATGACCCCTGAATGTCAACCAGGCTTGACGAGCAACATAGATATGATGAAATGAGAGCTTGCCATATGACTTTGTCTCAAAAATTAGTATTGATAAAACGCAGGGTCCATATGGGAACACCGACGAAATGAAATTATGCATTGAAGGACCGCCCCATCGGCCGAGAGGCGGCAGGGCCGACAGTTTTGCAGCGGTGTTTGGCCCGAGAACAGGGCTAAAGAGGGACCCAAGCCCCCGGAACCAGCGATGTACAACGCTGAACCCATGTCCATAGAATGCTATGCACCTGCGGGCTTCCTTGGTCCCATCTTTCAAGCCCGACAAAGTAAGGTCGAGTCAACGTCCTGACGAGAATGGCATCCACGTGGGGTTAATGCACAGCCGGTTTTGTTTCAGCTGGGAGTAGGGCTGGTAAGCCAAGGCGCCGAGTCAAGGGTAATTGATGGGTTTGGACGATAAAGGTCGAGCACAGGCTCGAGCCCCTTCCATTATTGGCTTGACTCTCTCGTATTGGACCCAGTGTCCACTGTTGACTGTTGTGTGCTGCGATGGTGGAATCAATTTTATGAACACTTATGAACGAAGTGGGCGAGATCAGGGACATTCTCGGACCTTGCGATAGAAATAACGGAGTGAGTGGTGCATGTGGGTGCATATCCCAGGAGACCTTGACAGGACGAAGAGCCAGGGGTTCTGATGATAAATGTATATCGTGTCATGCCTGTCCTGCTTCACCTCTGGCTTTTGGTCCCTTTGGTTTCCTTCACGCTCATCTGTCGTTTTTGATGTGGTTCGAGTTGCCTCACATTCGTTCTTTACTTGCTACTTTTTCCGATTCTTACCTTTCTTGTTTCTCACGTTATCCGCGTGCACTGTTCATTCATTCACCCGCGAGGGCATCATTCACAGTCTTGAATATTTCATTCACTCACCCATTCATTAAGAATTCTTGTCCCTCCATGCTCGAGCTTCGACTCATCACACATTCGCTTCGAAAACAAATCAACCCAGACTCTTAATTCTCAAGATGGCGTATGCGTCCTTCCCAAAGGTAGCCGTTGTGTGGGCTGCCCTCTCGCTGTTTACACCAGCAGCAGCGCATCTCTTCAAGTGCCCTAATTACGAAACTGTCTGGATAACCCCCGAAGGCGCACAATACGGCATCTGCGACAACACAGACTACAAGAACGGCGGTGGCAGCCTTGCGGTTCACAACTGCGTGCCCTCAACTCAAGAATGCCTGAAACTCTGTATCAAGGACTCCCGGTGCAAGAAGGCCGTCTACGACAAAAAGAACCACATGTGCCACCTCAAAAACAATGATAAGACGGCCGAGATGGACTGGGCAGACGACAACGGCTTCGACGTGATCCACCGCGATCAGGGCAGCGAGCTCGACGACGGCACTCCTATCGAAACGTGCCCCAACACGGGCGCGGGCTACAGCTCAGGCAAGACATTCTTTACCGTCTGCGTCAATACAGATTACACCCGACCCAACGCCCACACGTTTCGCAACACGCCCAGCCCGCATGCCTGTGCGGACACCTGCGCCAAGACCAAGGACTGCAAGAAAGCCGTCTACGATGTCAAGGACAAGATCTGCTACGTCAAGCAGGCTGGATCCGATGTCAAGCTAGACTGGGTCAAGGACGAGCGCTTCATCTCGATCGATACGAAGACTGGTGCGGCAGATGACAACAAGAACTCCAACGGGCCCGTCGACACGAAGCCGGAAGCGCCCAAGGGAGCTGCGGCCAAGGTCGGGCAGTGGTCTGATGTTATCAAGTTGCCGTTGATCCCCGTTGCCGCTTACATCGTGCCGGCGTATCCCGAGCCCGCGAAAATGCTGTTCTTCTCGTCCTGGGGCAAGGATGCCTTCGGTGGCGCTTCGGGCAAGACGCAATTCGGTGACTATGAGTTCGCAACAGGCGCTGTATCGGATCGCGAGGTCGCCAACACACATCACGATATGTTTTGCCCCGGCATCAGCCAGCTTGAAGACGGTCGCGTTATGGTGCAAGGTGGCTCCGATGCCGAAGCAGTCAGCATCTACGACCCAGCCACCAATGAGTTCACGCGCGGGCCTGATATGAAAGTAGCTCGCGGCTACCAAACGTCTGCCATTATGTCCAATGGTCACGTTTTCACCATCGGAGGTGCCTATGCTGGCAGCCGAGAGGCCAAGAACGGCGAAGTCTTCAACCCCGACAACCAGGAGTGGAGATACCTCCCCGGCGCCGATGTGAAGCCCATGATGACGACCGACCACGAGGGTGTGTGGCGCGAGGACAACCATGCCTGGCTCTTTGGGTGGAAGAACGAATCCATCTTCCAAGCCGGTCCTTCGCTAGACCAGCACTGGTACAGTACCGAGGGCGAGGGCTCTGTCGTCAAGGCCGGCACACGTGATGACGATGACGCCATGTGCGGTGTGTGGGCTATGTACGACGCTGTTGCTGGTAAGATCCTGTCTGCAGGCGGCGCTCCCGAGTACACCGACAGCGATGCCACGGCACGGGCGCACATCACAACCATCGGCGAGGCATATGCCCCTTCAATCGTTGAGCGAGTCCCCGATATGTCTTCTCCGCGCGGCTTCGCCAACGCCGTTGTGCTTCCCGATGGCAACGTCCTCGTAACGGGTGGCCAGAGACGCGCCGTTGTCTTCACCAATACGGACGCCGTTCTGACCGCTGAGCTTTTCAACCCCACGACCAAGACCTGGACTCAGCTCGCCGCCGCTGCCGTGCCACGCAATTACCACTCCGTGTCCATCCTGCTCCCCGACGCCACTGTATTCACGGGCGGCGGCGGTCTTTGCTATGTTTCGACTATCGGCGGCTCAACTGCCGGCTGCAACAAGGCTGCTGACCACGCCGACGGCGAAGTCTTCTCGCCGCCTTACCTCTTCAATGACGATGGCAGCGCGGCTGCGCGACCCGCCATCTCAGGACTTGCGCAGGAGGCCGTCTCGGCCGGCGCGACACTTTCGTTCGACGTTGAGGGCAATGTTGCCTCCTTCTCGCTCATTCGCACCGGTACCGTTACCCACTCGGTCAACAGTGACCAGCGCCGGATCCCACTCAAGAGGTTCCGGGCGCAGAATGGCAAGTACACGGTCACGCTGCCGACTGACCGTGGCGTGCTGCTGCCAGGGTACTACTACCTATTCGCAATCTCTGCCAAGGGCGTGCCGAGTGTTGCGAAGAGCGTGCACGTCGTTCTGTAAATAGGTCATCATATCTTCTCGTCTGCTGATAAAAATCGCGAGATCACCCCTTGAGAAGTGAGAATACGTAACCCGCGATGTATAGCATCATAATGTAATCAAATAATACCCTGTTTGCTCTTCTGCAACTATTCCTGAATGTTGTTTCATATTGTTCAACTCCTCACTATTGTCCTGCTATTGTACTTGCAGGACAAGAAGCTCGTGATCAAAATAGAACGCGATACCAAATCTCAAGCTATACTAATGCCCATTCACACCATTTGTCCCGTTCGTTCCATTTGATCCGCGGTGCAGGCCCCTCTTCGGTGCGCCGTTTCCGTCTGTAGCACTCGAGCATACAGTCGCACTAATACCGTTGGCGAACTTGACCTTTGAATCTTCAGTCATGCCATTGTGCGTGCCATTGAACTTCATATCCTTGATGCCCTCGTATCCTTTGACACCCGTGCTCTTCTCAAGCCGCTGTGCAATCTCGGGATCGACTCTCGGAAGATGGCAATCTGCCTCTTCAGCAATTCGTCGTTTTTGCACGAGGCCATCTTGCCCGTGACGTTGCTGATGAACCTCTCCCTGGCGGCGTCGTCGAAAACATCTCGCCAGAGCGCGCGCGGCGCCACAAAATCTTCGGGGCGAATCTGCGAGAGGAACGTCACGGCCTCGCTCGTGAAGTGCGCGTGCACGCTGTCGTGGTCGACAGTCCTCTTGTGGAAGGAAATGGGTTCGATGGACGAAAGGTAATTTGGCCGAGCGCCCTGGTTGAAAAATGCCATCTGGCCGTCACGCTGGAAATTGCCGGCGCGGTACGACGTTCGCGATGCGTTGACGGGCAGCTGTTGGTAGTTGACGCCGAGGCGGTGACGGTGAGTGTCTGGGTAGGAGAAGAGGCGGGACTGGAGGACGGGGTCGGCCGAGGGTTCGATGCCTGGCGGCATGTGGGAGGGGTTGAAAGCCACTTGCTCCACCTCGGCGAAGTAGTTCACGGCGTTTTCATTAAGGGTAAACTCGCCGACCTTCTGTAGAGGATACTTCTTTTGCGGCCAGACATGGGTCAGGTCGAAGACGTTGAGCTTGTCCTTCTCCCAGGCGTCCTCGGCCTCGGACGCCGTCATGGTCTGGATCTCGACGGACCACTTGGGGTGCTCGCCACGAGCGATGGCCTCGTAGAGATCTTTCTGCGAGTAGTCGGGCGAATAATTGGCTGAATCTTCCTGAGTAACAAACTTGATGCCTTGCATTGACTTGAAGTGCATCTGGCAATACACCCATTCGTTGTCCTTGTTCACGAGCTTGAGCGTGTGGCCGGCGTATCCGTGCATAAAGCGGTATCCGTCGGGAATACCGCGATCACCCATGAGGATCATGACCTGGTGAATAGACTCGGGGTTGTGACAGAGGTAATCCCAGAACATGGTCGAGTCATCTGCGTGCGTGAGATGGGTAGAAGGATCGCGCTTCTGTGTGTGGATGAAGTGCGGAAACTTGGCTGGATCTCGAAGGAAGAAGACAGGCGTGTTGTTGGCGACCATGTCCCAGTTCCCCTGCTCCGTCCTGAACTTGACAGAGAAGCCTCGAGGGTCGCGCGCGAGATCGTGAGAGCCAGACTCGCCGCCGACAGTTGAGAAGCGTGCCGTTACCGGGCATTTTTTGCCCTTCGTTGAGAAGAGATCGGCCTGGGTGAGATTTGGGATAGGATTGGTGCACTCAAAGAAGCCGTGAGCACCGCTGCCTTTGGCGTGCACAACTCGTTCGGGGATCCGCTCACGATCAAAGTGGGAGAGCAGATCGATGAGGTGGAAGTCCTGCAGCAGGAGGGGGCCATTCTCGCCAGCGCGCTGCGTCTCGTAAGGGTGAGGTACAGGAACGCCGTTGCTTGTGGTATAGGTCACGTCCTTGGACGACGCCTGGCGGTCATCCTCAAAAGACGAGAACTGCCTAGCCACGTGGGCAGCAAATGGTGTATCTGAAGACATTTTTACGATTAATGAGCAGTTTAGGGTTCTGAGCAAATCGCATCTGAGAAGACAGGAGAAGAAGGCACTTCTTAAGGTCAGAGGTGACACAAAGCCACTCCAGGACGTAACGGGACGGGGCACACTTTGTCATAGTGCCCGTCATGGGCTAGCAAATAAGAGGAGACTTATTTGGAATGAGGCTTAACCCTTTGCCAGAGAACTGCGTTCTACATGGGAAAGTGAGAATCCGATGGCGTGGATGGATGGGAGATCAGCGGTCGATGACGCCTGCATTCACCAGCGCCATCACGACCAAGCACTCGCTAATCGACGAATCTGTGGCCACTGGGGGCTAGCCAGAGAAATTCCCACCTGCAAAGGCCGATGCCATCCGATGAGCGGCACAGTATTGCCAATGACGAGTCGCTCCCGTGCTTCGATGACCTTGGGTACCCAATTGGCGTTTGTTGTGCTGGCTACAAGTAGGTACTGTGTGCGTCTGCCGACAATTGATGTCATCGGGGTTCTCACTGAGCACATGCGCCAGACTTTCGCCCCAGCGGCTCTCCACACCAGAGGGCATCTTATTACGCTGGGCGTGGAGTTTGGTGCCTCGGGCGTAGCCCGGATATGTCCTCGACCAGGCTACTGTAGGACATCCCAAGCCACTAGCGACAGCGAGGCGACAGGCACAGCATGGTTTTGCCACGGTTGATCGGAACCCACTCTGCTTGAGGTTTCACTGCGCTCCAAGGCGATTAACTGCTAGCCAGACTCTGCGTCTCGTCCTCGCCCTCCTCCACCCTGAGGCCGTCTATTGGGGGATAGTGCGCCAAGAGAAGGATGGCGACGGCAATGACAGCTAGGCCCTGAACGTTTTGTCAGTCAAATACGTCGCTGAAGCTGGAGGGGATGATACGCACACCGTTGCAAAGAAATGTCAGATTGGCTTTGCCGACGCCTGATAGCGACGAGTAAATAAAACCAAAAGTACCCTGCGTTGTCAGCGTCGCCGCGCTTTCGACTAATGTGATGGCACTCAGCGCATCCTGTCGCAGGTTTGCTGGGCTCATTTCTGTAATGACACCCTTGGCAGCCGGTGCCGAGCCCGAGGCGAAGGGGAGCAGAAAGGCAGCTGCTCTCGTCAGTCAGTCCCGTTTTCTGTTGCTTGCGAAGCATCTCAGGCCGACTTACCCAGATACATGTGCCATCCTTTCGTGGCCCAGGCCGATATGGACGTGACGATGCCGTCAACAACAAGACTCCAGCGCAGGAACGACAAATCAAATGTGCTATCCTCGTCTTCTTCCTCTGGTGGTGCGTTCGTTGGTTCCTCGGCATTCATCAGGCCGGGTAATGGATCGAGGTCCTCGGCGTGCGTCGGGATCGTCGCGCCTTCCAGCTGATCGGTGACGGGACACTCATGAAGGGGCCGCGAGGCCATCGAGGCAAACCAATGGCGACCGAGATCAATTATCTTGGGAAACATGAACATCAGGAAGACACCCCTGATCAGTGAATTGCCTGCCATGAGCGTGCCGTTCTCCGTGGTGCCAAAGTCGAACCGTGAAGTGGCATACATCTGAATAAGAATAGGAGCATAGCCAGTTGCAAACTGTTCAGCGTCAGCAAATAGCCACAGAGAAAGCTGTCACATGAGTGAATATAGACTAGAGTCTCACCACGCCAAAGAAAACGCCCATCGCGAGAAAGACGAGACCGTAATGCTTGGTCACTTTGCCTGAAGGCAGGCGGTATCGTTGCGGAATGAGGATCCTCAGCGGCGCAAACATTCCGGAGGTTGATTTGCCGTCCTTGTGTGCCACTTCATCCTCATTAACTGGAGATGCCGGCATGAAGAGGGCGCCATAGATCGTGGCGACTATGAAACATCCGACGGCGACGGTGAACGGACTCGATATGCCGAACAAATCGCCAAGGAGACCGCCAACTGTTGACGGTTAGTGGCGGATTGCTAAACATACGTCGGATGAGAGGACTCACAGAAGTAGCCACCAGCATTACCGATCATCAAGGCTCCCTGGAGTTTGCCAAATACACCCGTGTGTTTCCGCCTCTCGATGGCTTCGGCGACGGCGGTGTTGAGCACCAACCTGTGGGCAAGTGTGAGTCACAGATACTTAGCCTGGGTGTTTCGTGGTGTAACTCACATGTAGCCCCTCGGACCTCCAAAGATACCTACAAACTGCGTTCCTTGCATGAGGTAGATGCCTTTCCTGCCGCCAACGCTGACAGCGGCAATCTGAAAGGAAACCCTAACGGCAAGCAGAGACGTCTGGCTGACGAGCGCCCACCGTGTACCCCAACGCTTGATGAGAGCGCCGCAGATGAAAAGATTGAGGATGCCGCACAGCGACGTTGTCATGCCAAGGATGGACACCTGGGTGGCTGTCGCCGCGTCGATCTCCCGGCGGGCGCAGCGTGCGGCAGAGGGAGGATGGTGGGTGTAAAAGGCCTCGCAGGTCATGACACGGAAGACGTAGATGATGCTGCGATGCGGTCAGTTGTTCACTCAGTCTATCTCGGGCCGGCAGCTGGCACGTACGAGACCTGGGTGAGGCCGAGAGTCAGAGCGACGAGAAAACCGGCGAAGAGGATCCTGTTCTCGGGGGAGCAGAGCCGGGGGCCGAGACCGGAGAACTTCTCAGGCGCGGGGCTGGCAGCGGCGCCGACACGGACACGGGCGCCTGGGCCCGGCGACAGGAGGGGCGTTGTCTCGCTGGGACTCATTGTGCGGGGTGTCATCTGGGTGCCTTGCGATTTCGCCAGGGAGCGATATTTTGGCTGAAAGCTGAAGGTGATCGGGGGGGGGGAGGGGTAACACAGTGGGGTTGTCAGAAATTTGCCTGTCGGACGAAGCGTTCCTTATCGCCACTGAAGCCGGCGCCCACGTCTGGCTGGCGGTGAGTGACGCGACAGCTCTGGGCCCCATTAGCACCATTGCAACATGGAAAATGCAGCGAAGAAGAATGGATCACACTGACCACTTTGAAAGACCACAGGCACGCCATCCGGACAGAATGAACAGCAGCACGACAAAGGCAAACTCATTCTTCCTATCTACCGCCTCCTGCCATTTTAGTCCTACGTCGTATTCAGTCTACTCAGCACTGTCCCTAGCGGGGGCTCCAGAAGGCTAATTGGCATAACCTAAGACGGTGAACCGTTGACTCTGGAAGGTGCAGTTTGACACTCGAGATCCCAGATTGATGGAATAGACGCATGAGCTATTAAGAACCACAGGGTTGGGTAGAGGTCCCGAATGCCGACGCCGGGATTGCAAACGGTAACATTCAGGCACAACTGCTGCCGCATTGCCATTGACCCCTTTGACATACGGCGCCTAGTCAGTAGGAATGTGGTAGAAGTATCAGACCTTAACATGATGGTTGAGGGACTGTAGACAGAGTAGTCTATCTATAATGATGTCTCCATGCTACGCCTATTCCTAGCTCCTGAAACCCTCAAACTTGCCTCGCTTGATATGCATCCGTCGCGAAAACGAGCCCTTGGCAGATGGGTTCCCGTCCCAAGAGAGCTCACCTCTCTGTCAACGCATTTGTGCTCCAGCTCTGACTCGTATGGCGACACGACCATGTTTGTACGAAACACTCGATTACGAGTACTGATGGAAACTCAGCGTTATGAACAGAAAGTTTTCATTTCGATTTCAAGCAAGGCTAAGTAAAAGGCTTAAAAAGACAACTCCCCCGCTAACACCCATGATACGCCCCCCATCTGATGATCTCAACCAAATGAACCATAACTTAAGCACCGGAGAAATTTCTGAGAATAAGAGCCTTCTCAGATGTTGTTGGTGCCCTCGTCGTCAATGTTCTCGTCAAATACCAGTCCAGCAGGCCGAGCCTTGCGAATGTTCTCAGCAAAGTTTTCGTTCTTGATGGCGATAGCACCAGCCTCCCAGTTGTGCGTCAGCATCCTGTCCCTCTGCTCGACGGTGTCCCAGCCAAAGTACCCGAGAAGCGGGCCCGTGATCCACTGGTTCCGGTGGTTCTCCGGCCCGGGACCACCGGCGTCGGCGCCATTGCCGAACCGGAAGCAGTGTGTCAGGATGCTGTCCTTGTGGTAGACAATCGCCGGCTTGCCATTCTCCGCCGCAGTCCAGGTGACCTGGGAGTTTTCACGAATCTCGTAGCCCTTGTGCTGGCTGACGGCAACGTGCGTGACGAAGCTGTCGCTCTGGCGCACCCACACGGCAATGTGCTCCCAGTCGTGGCGGTGCCCGTCAATGGGTGTCGCCGTATCCTTCTGGAAGTAGTAGGCGTAGAAAATGACGCAATAGCCATTGTTGCAGCGCTGGCGGGAGTAGACATTGCCTCGGTCCAGCATCTCTTCGTTGCGGCAGCCCGCTTGGGGCGGCCACTCGAAAGGGAACATGCCAATGGCGAGGTCGCCGTTGGGGCCGATTGCCGGTACATTGTAGCAGCTGTCCGTGTCGAAGTCGAGAGCAGGCTGGAAGCGCTTGTCGAGCTCGGGTGCCCGTCCGAAGATGGGGCCGGGAGGAGGAGGCTGGGGATCACGGGGAGGGTTCTCGGGGTCGTCCTGGCGCGCCTGAATGACAGCTCCGAAAGACGAAGGCAAAGCCGCAAGGGCGAGGAGTCCGACACTGAAAAGCATGCTGGAAGATTTCTGTTAAGATTCAAGAGAAAAGAAAACGAGATATGAAGTAGTTGAGGCTGGTGAGGCTGTTGCTTTTGAGTTGCTGTTGTTGATGATGGACGGTCAGAACTTTGGAAGATCACGAAGCCATCTTTATACTTGATTATTTCTTTACAAAGTTATTGTTGTCACCGATCTTGCGATCCTCTGGCCGGGTTTCGTCACTCCATGGACGCGACTCTGGTTGACGATATTCTTGGACGCGCACTGCGGTCAGCGTTGCAATGATTGACGAGGATTGCGAGGCAAAGACATTCGGAGGATTGTACAAAGGATCCAGAGAAGGCTGAGCAAGGATAAGCGAACCATTCCTCAAGCGAAGCTGAGAACGTTCATCATGAACCATATGTCGGATCTACTGCACCGCGTTCGGGGACTGGCCCTTGTCGGCTCGCACGTGCCCTCCTCCCTAATTAGTTAGGGCTGGGCAACACCCCTGAGCCTCCGAAGCTTGTCACTTCAAGTGGTGGCTGTGTCACAGGATCAATCGATCTAGCCGCTGCAAGCTTTCATGCATCCCCAGCATGGAGTCCTCTATTCTTGGCGACTCGCATGACCGAAAGCTTGTTAAGCGTGCATCTTCGCCTTCGCCACCATCCATGGAAGGATTGACATGTTACCCTGCGAACCAACGAACATAAGCTTAAACCCCAGCTGCTGAGCTGCCTTCCGGACTTGGCGTGACGTGCTGTCCTTGTCGAATAGACCCATGGCCCTCGATTTGAGTCCAAGCATGGCTTCAGAACCCTGGCGTCGCTGTTCCTGGCCAGGCGAGCACAGCTTTCGGATTTGATGCAACGCTGCGGCGCGAATCGTATTGGCGCATGTCATTGGCAGGAAACCACAGACTAAGATGCATCTTGGTCCCAGATGCCAAGCTCGTCAGCCACAGACATCATAGGGCCAATAATAGTCGGCGATGTTCACTGCATTTCCTGTTCGGGGGCGCAATGAGAGGTCGTAGCTGACGGTGCATTGCGGAGGCGCGATCCCAAATCTGATTACCCGATTCCAGGCCTTTTGGGTATTGCCCGGCTACAATGTCAGAGTTGACAGACTCGGAAGTTATTTTTGTCCTGTGTGTCATCTTGCTGATCCTGCTAGGCAACATGTAGCATGCCATGGGTTCCCGCTTCAACACCATGCTCCAAATGCCCCCTCAACAAACGAATTATGGAGCCCAAGCGCACACACCCGAGGCAACCTGGCCCTCGCCCCTTTCTCAAAGCTCTTGTCGAATGCCACGAGGATTCTGTGCGTCCTCTGCTTGGTTATGACGATGGTAAGGACAACCCCTTACCTTCCTCTGTCGCCAGGGGCCGCTGCACAAAAGCTGGCTCACACGGATAGCTCTCACCGTCTTGAGGTTTCCACCGCCATTGCTGGCCGTGCAGTAAAATGAGCGGTCATTCGGGTTCATGGATGCGCGCTTGTCGGTGCGAGGAAGCTCGGAGGCCGTACCTGGGACTGCCGCTGCCACGGTCACATGCCTAAGTGGATTGATGTCGGCCATATTCAGCCGGCGAGTTGGTAGCGTGTTAGGGTGCCATCATGATATAGCCTTGTCGGGTCGACGACGTTTCTCAGGTTCAAGAGACCGTGACTTCAGTACCATGTCGTCGAGAGCTCGGGTCGCAGCATAATTGACGACCAACGCTTCGACTGGAAGAGAGTACACAACTTCTGCATCCCCGCCTTCAATGTATACGAGCATCACGCAAAGGACGGGGTTGACGCGGCGTATCTGTACCGCTTCGACGATAAGCCCATGCTGCGTCCACTGGGCTTTTAAAGAAGTGCTGACACGGATATCGAGTCTCTGGTCTTGAATTAGAAGAGAGGCTTGGAAAATTGTGATGAATTCTACGGACGGAAGATGAAGTATCGATAAACCCTTGATATAGACTGTTTGTCTCGCATTACCCGCGCCCTCTCGCTCTCCCGTCCCTTCCCGTCTCGTCGGCATCCAGAGGCAAAGCCTCAAGTTCGAGATCCTGGTCGAACTGCGTCCTTGCGTGTTCGCTCTTCCCAGCAGTAGGCAAAAACAGGTGCTGCAACCACCAATTCTGTCACGCCTGTTGCACCCTCCTCCGACATCGTCTCGTGTCTCTTCCTCCTTCTCGCATTCTTCAAACCCGTCCGCCTTCTGTTGATGCTCCTGATGAGGGCGAGCACGGGAAGAAGGACAGGCCACGTGGTGATGATTGCGCACCCCCAGAGCACATCCCGCATAGGACCTGAGCTTTTCTGGCGATTTCGTGTGAACCATTTAGGTCGTCTAAGTGCTTGAGAAACCGCCCCTATCACAAGACCTATAGTGAAGTAAACGGGGAGGCTTGGATATACCGCCTGGAAGATGATCGCTGACTCGCTGGTGTGGTCGTCCGTGGACCCGCCTTTAGGCGGAGGCGGGATGTAGCTGATTTTGATAGGCACCATGGCTCTTTCCCAAGTGTATGTGTGTCGGGGCCGCGATAGCTGGGACGGGCCAGGCGGGTGTCTTCTCAGGTGATGCAGATGAGGTGATGAGTGATAGTCTTTTGTTAGGCTCGATGACCAGAAAAACAGAGGATTGCAGATAGAGTGACAGAATCTGACTCTTAAATAGTTGGCAACCTTTTGGTCACATGGTTCTATCCAATGTGCCCATTTGTCCATCTCGGCCCGCAAAGCTTATGTCTCAACCTTGCCATGATCGATGAAGCCTGATCCTGAGGCCCAGGGGTTTGGCTGAGTGCCACCAAGGTGCGCCTTCAACAGGCCTCAAAATGTCACCAATCCCATGGACCGACGAGAGCTTTTGTCTCGTCCCACACAGAATCATACTCACTCGATGGTGCGAGCCTGGCATCTGGGGCCTGAAGGCATCGAAATTCGCTCCGAAATACGACAAAGGTCTTGTGGCGACGCTACGACGCCTGGAATTACTATTTTCCCTGTTCGACCGGGCGCAGTATACAATAACAAATGTGGTATCTTCGCCAAAACCAAGCAACATGCCAATAAGCAGTCTCGCCCTATATTCCCATTCTCAAAAGTAACGCCTAAAGGCCCCGCAAAGTTAGTGCCTCAAACTCAGTCGACGTCGTCATCAGAATCGCCCAGCCCACCCTCTCCTTGTCCCTCTTTCCAGCTGGCCATCTCGGCAACAGGCACACGGCCCCGCAACCACCTCAGTGTTGCATCTGTTCCACGCTCGAGCACGCTGAATCTTGGAACACGGAAGCGGTTCCCTGATACGTCAAGCTGACGCAGGCCGCCGTTTCCGCCAAGCAAGCCGATCTTGGGGTTCAAGTGTGCGATATCGTTATTGTTGGCGTCCACGACCTGCAGACCCCGTATGCTCTCAGGGTCGAGCTCGATGAGGTGGTTGTTGGCAATCAGCATGACCGACAGCTGCGGGAACACAATACGCAGATCAGTCGGTAGCGCTGTGATACGGTTGAGCGAGACATCAACTTTCTCGAGCTGCTGCGATCGGAGATTGACCGTCAGCGGGGTCAGGCTCGTGATGTGGTTGTTCATCAGATTGAGCTCCCGGAGAGCAGGTAGCTCCAGCTCCTCTGGCAAGTACGTCTCGCCGACAAGTTTGTTATGGGCCAACGACAGCGCCGTCAAGGTGTTGGCGAAGAACGTAAGAGATTCAGGAAACGTCGCGAAAAGGTTGTGATGGAGCTGGATTTCCGTGACCCGGGTAGCGGCGGCGATTTTGGAACAAACGACAGGGTGAAGCGACGAAGACTGTGTCCCAGAGCGGTCCAGCAGTCCGCCATTCTTAATAGGCCAGGTTTGGCTCGAAAGAGTGTGCGACCTCGATCGAGCAGGTGAGTGCGGCGCCGATGTCGGGGGGAGTTGCGAAGTCATCCATGTCAGACCGACTGTCATGCTCACCCTCTTCAGGTGCGACTTCTTTCGTTGGAGGTTCGGATGCTTTGGCATCGTCGGCGATGGCAGCCGCGATAGTGTGCGCAGTGCTCGTGACGTCGTCGTAAGGAGGCGGCGGTTCCAGCCTCGCTGCCAGGGCATCTTTCAGCTCCTCTGTTGTGGCCGAGATGAACTTTTTGTCACGCAACGGGTTGCCACTCAGGCGAATCATTGCAAGATTGTCCATCCTGGCGATCTCCGGCGGGATGATGCGAATATCATTAGCAGAGAAATCAACATGTCGCAATTTCTCCAGACTGAAGAAGCCTTCCGGAAATTCCGAGATACTGTTCTCGTCCGCGGTCAGCGTCAGAAGACTACTCCAAGAGCTGACGTCAGGCAGAGCTTTCAGGCGGTTCATAGACGCGCTGAGCTGGTACAGCACCGGCAGGCTGACCGTTGTGCCAGGGGCAACGATATGTGTGATCTGGTTGCAGGAGATGTCGATTGATTGCAGCTTCGAGAGAGCCTCCACGTCATCTTCAATAAGTGTCTTTGCAAGCTTGTTCTTCTTTAGGTTGAGTTCTGTCAGGGGCATCTGGGACAGAATGCCGAATGGAAGTAGTTCAAAGCTGTTTTCGGCAAGGTTAAGAATACGTAACCGTTCAAGATTCCCGAAATTGGTAGGAAGAGTCGAAACGTTGTTGCCGTGAATATCAAAGATCTCCAAATTTTGTAGGTTGGAGACCGAGGGGTCCAACGGGCCGTATAGAAGGTTATTTGCGAGCTTGAGGTCGCGCAGTGAGGTGAGCTGAGAAATCACCTCGAAACAGTTGTTTGCCAATCGATTATTGGTCTGCACTCGTTAGTCTTCCTGTCAATCAAAATCTCAGACTCGGCATACCAGGTTCAGAGACGTCAGGAGGCGAAGTTGCCTGAGTCCGACAGGAAGAGAAATCAGCAGATTCCCATGCAGGTCGATTGTGTCCAGACCGCCAAAGATGTTCCCATTCCCGTCTTCATCAGCTGCTAGGTCGTCGGCAGTCACGTCTGAAT